TTTGCAAAGCGCAGGTTTTCTTAGAAAAGCAAAGAGAAATTGGATTTATGGACTCCCCTGGCAGATAGACTTAAAATATGAGTAGTATCAATACTTGTAGTCACAGGATCACTACACTATGATATAGTAAAGAAGACCATGAGAAGCCCTGGGTAGAACAAATGTTTGGGGAATGGTGATACGCTTCACTTCCATAATTTCCTCTGTGGAAGGACACAATAGTTGTCCATTTCTCATGAAATTTTATTAGAAGCTTAGGCATTCAAGGGAATGATTCTATCACGGCCCCTTAATTGAATATGGAGACCTCATCTTTAATCTGCTGACTGGTCTAAAGGCATTACTGTAGGTGGCTTCTTAGGCTCAGGGCACTCTGTGGAAGAAGCAAAGAGTAATTTTGAAGTATGTAGACAGGGATAGATTTGGTTTTATGTGAGGAAAATTCATACATAAATATACCTGCCACTTAAAATGCTTCTGAACTAAAATTCCACAGATGCTTTGGGATTAGACAAAAGCAGATCCTGCTTAAAATGACTTCATGCAATTCTTGAATTCCTTAATGCAGAGATGTGAGAAGGGGGAATAGATACCTTGATGGTGGTTTAAATGTGCTTGTTAAATAAATCCTTCTGCAACTGCATCATTACCAATACCTTATATTATGCTCTTGCAAATCCAGTGATTAAAGTTTGTGGGAGTCTTCCTCTCCTCTTATGAAGTTTAAAAAGTGCTGTTGAAAATTACAATTAGATAGGAAGAATAAGTTCTCCTGTTCTATTGCACAGTAGGGTGACTAACTGTTAACAGTTAAGTTTTGTGTATTACATAATAACTAGAGGAGAGGTTTTTGAATGTTTTCATTACAAAGAAATGAAAAATGCATGGTGATGGTTACATTAACTACCCTGACCTAATCGTTATACAACATTTATATGTATCAAAATATCAGATTGTGCTCCATAAGCATGTACAATTACAATGTGTCAAAGTACTTTTTAAAAAATGTTGTTTAAATGACATGACAAATTTAAAATAAAAGTAAATGCCACTTGACCATGCCCTGGAAGAGATACATTAATGCTATCAGTTTGTCACCCAGATGAAAGGGGTGGAGTTCCTGGGAAGCTGATGGGAAAGTAACAAATGGTAAAGTGAATTAAGGTTTTTCTCTGTTCTTGCTGTTCTTGACATGGACATGAATAAATAGTAACGTTATGAGTCACTCTGAGCAATCATGTTGCATGCAAAAGCTGGAGAAGTGAGGTCAGAGACTCGACTTATAAAAGGAGAAATAGCTGACTTTGTTAATGTTCTCGAATGGCAAAGGAGGAACCTGGAGAAATGGGTACAATGGGCTGACACAAAACAATTTAAAGAACCACATAAAGTAACTTCTGGCAAGAAAAAAAAAATTCAAATGGGAACTTTTTAATGTGATAAATGCATGGCTTTAGAATGAATGAAAAGAACAATAATAATCAGCATGAAAAATATCTTAAGATAGCCTTTTTGTTTATTTTCTCTTCATGAATGCCATTTTTATTATACTAGTGGTTTGATTTTTCTTGGGTTTTTATGGCAGTGGTAGTTATTTCTTCTCATCAGCACATGGTTCATTCTCCAGGATAGATCACATATTAGGTCACAAATCAAGTCTCAACAAATTCAAAAAAATTGGAATTATCCCATGTATTTTCTCAGACCACAATGGATTAAAATTAGAAATCAATAACAAATGAAACTCTGGAAACTATACAAACACATGGAAATTAAACAGCATTTTACTTAATGACATATGGGTCCAAAAGAAATCAAAGAGGAAATCAAAAAAGTTATTGAAACTAATGAAAATAATGATACATCATACCAAAACCTGTGGGATACTGCAAAAGCAGTACTAAGGGGGAAATTTATTGCATAGAATGCTTACTTCAGAAGAATGGAAAGATGGCAAGTGAACAACCTCACGCTTCACCTTAAAGAACTGGAAAAACAAGAACAATCCAAACCCAAAGTTAGCAGACGGAAAGAAATCATTAAGATCAGAGCAGAACTTGATGAAATTGAAACCCAAAAAGCAATACAAAAGATCAATGAATCAAAAAGTTGGTTTTTTGAGAAGATAAATAAAATTGACAAATCTATGGCTAACTAAAAAACGAAGAGAGAAGATCCAAATAACAAAAATTAGAAATGAAAAAGGTGATACTACAACCGATACATCTGAAATACAAGAAATCATTCGAGACTACTATAAACAACTATATGCCAAAAAATTTGAAAATCTGGAGGAAATGGATAAATTTCTGGACACACACAAGCTCTCAAAACTGAGCCAAGAAGATGTAGAAAATCTAAACAGACCAATAACAATAAAGGAGATTGAAGCTGTTATCAGAAGGCTCCCAACAAAGAAAAGCCCAGGACCAGACAGATTCACAGCAGAATTTTACCAAACATTCAAAGAGACGGGAGAGGCAATGAGGCCACCAGAATCATTGACATCATTCACTCCCTGTCAGCAGGCATTTTGTTGATGCTTACTCTGTCATGTGATGTTCCAGTAACTGTGTTTAGAGTGACGGAAGACAGCCCCTGTCCTCATGCAGCATACATTCTAGTCAAATCCTTTTCTTTCATAGCCCTTACTCCAGCATGGTGCTAATCTGAGGAGTCTCCTTGATTTTTCCCGCTAAAAACTGGGTGGAGTTAAGACCATCTTTTCCCAGGATCAGGCTTATAGGCTTGAAACTCTACCATAGCCAGACTCTGTGAGTTATAAACCCAGTTGCCCAAGCAGAAAACTTCTGCCAACTTTAACATGCGCAAGCTTTTCCTGGGCCCCAAACATTCTAAGTCTTCTCTCTCTTTCCCTTAAATAACTCTTGACTCATCCTCTCCATCCCCTCTACACTTGTCTTACCTCACTATCTCTCACCTAGTCCCTTCCTGGCCTCCTTGCCTCTCCTGCTAACACCCCTCACAGACCTATCCTTCCCACTGTATCTCACTGCTGCTATGGTTACCTTCTCAAACTATGAAACTGTTCATGTTGTATCCTGTTAATAATTGTCAGTGGTACCCTAAGTTCCTGGCATGGCTAAAAGAGCTTTCAGGAGCAGACCCTGCCTGACCCATCTCATTTTATGCCATTCTCTGCAAGTCTTTAACTGTGGACATTGTCTTTTCACATGAATGCCCTTTGTACCTTGTCTTTCACATAAACTCAGTCTTCCCTAATGTCCTGGGCAGCTGGTCACCCCATCCACCTTCTTTCTATGTCACTGTGTGTATATGTTGACATTTTGTAATTATTTGTTAACAAGTCTATTCTTTTTAAAGTGAGCTCCTTGAAAGGCAGTGTATTTTCTGTTTATGTATCTGTACTGCTGTATATCACAGGTCCTTAAATAAGTGAGTGAATGAATGAACTAAAATATACCAGTTTTTCATAGATAGGGTCTTCACAGACTGCTTCCGTCCACTTAGTTTAATGAAACAAACATGGCGTGCCATAATCTTAACATTTTTCAGGGACATCTAGATACCATCAAATACTAGGTATATCCCAACAAAACTGAAATTGGAAGGGTTCTTTTATACCTTGTTGATCATCTACCATCAGCTCTGAATGCTAAAGTGTTCTACAACCTTAAAAAGTTTTAAAGCCTATAGTATTTACTTGTTGTGAAAAAGCTACCATTTTATATAGGTTATCTTTTATATTACTTCCTCAGAAAGGTTCCTGAGATATATTTCCCAGCAAGCACTTGTTAGATGGTCAACTCGCATTTAAAGTAGCTTATATTTTGGGAAAGTACACTGTACCCACATGGACATGCATATTTTGGTTGTATCCACACAATGCCAGTTATGTGAATAATGACAGTAAAACTTGTATCGAGTGCTCACTCTATGCCAGTTACTGTGCTAAGTGCTCTAGATTCATTATATCACCCATTTTTATATATCATCTCCATTTTATAGATGAAGAAACTTAGGCAAAAGAGATCAAGTAATTTTTTCAGAGAACCAGTGGTAGTAAGGGGCAGCCAATATGCAAATCCAGGTGTCTGGTTCCAGGACGTATACACTTATTAATGCCATCCTGAAAATGGAAATGGAAAAAAAAATTCTACTTCTGCTTATTATGTAAACAGAATTTTACACAATAGCCTAGTTTTCCATATAGGTAATGTGCTCTATTGTTTGTTTTAAATTCCCAGCATCCCTTTTTAGAAAGGAACAGCTTCTTTGCACAATGAATTTTAAACGTTAGGGTTATTTCTTATATAGGAGTAATAATACTTCTTCCTCTTGACTGCTATAGAATCCTTGAAATACTAGTTGGAATTTGACAAAATTTTATTTTGATTGGACTACAGAGAAAAATTGCTACACAAACCGTAAGCACAGTAATTTGCAGTTCTCTTGGTGTCACAGTGACTTATGTAAAATAGAAATTTTCATTTTAAATATATAATCTATGGCAACAGAAACAGCACTTGACTCTAGGACCCCTCCATGCTTTGAAATCCTAATGAAGATGGTATCAAAATCTTCTGCAAGCAGGTTTAATTAATTCTGAGACGTGAACTCTCTCCTAGCAACAGCTTTTTTCCCCCTAATTAAAGTCTAAAGCTAGCTTGAAAGCTGAGTAATATTTTGAAAATCAGTAAGTAAATACGATATAAAGCAATTACAGAGCCATGTAGAAACCTTTCTAGTTGGAGAATTATAATCATATTGTCTGATTTTCAAGGTAACCAGTGGGTAAGACCAGATGAAATTGTCAAACTGTGCTAAGCCTCTTTGCCAAAGTTAAACATTTTAATTTAGACCAATCAGGTAATTAACTACTTTGGAGACAGTTCAGATTCTTTCTCTTGAGATCCTCTTGTCAAATCATTAAAATGAGAAACAAGTTTGGATAAAAGATGATCAGTGTTTTCTTTGTTCAATTGCAAGATATGAAAAGAGGCATTTTTCTCTTTCAGCCTTGCCTTACATCCAGACAAAACTCTCGTTGCAACTGGTCAAGTCGGGAAGGAGCCATATGTATGCATATGGGATTCCTATAACATCCAGACTGTGTCTATTCTTAAAGATGTCCATACACATGGAGTCGCCTGCCTGGCTTTCGACTCAGATGGACAGGTGTGTATTCCATTTCTTATTCCATTTCTTTAATGACTTATCATAATCCATCTTAAATTATAGTGAAAATAGCCAATCGGTTCAGAAAGTCCATCAGCACTTGCTGGCTCCCTTTGGTAGCCTCCTAGAATTTTTCACTTGTTTGACCCTTTTCCAAGCTTGGGGTACTAAAATCCAGGTCCGGATAGCCCCGGTTTTGGTTCTCCCAGTCTCCGTCTGGCTAAAAAAGCCTCTGTAAAAGAAGTCGTGAATTCATGCTGATCGTGAGTTCTACTGTAGTCCACCATGGCTCGGCAATTCCTCTTTGTTGTCCATTGTTAGCTTCCTATTTGGAATAAGGGTGAACCAAGCCTTTTTAACAAACCCCAAGCCCTGAGCATTTCATTAGTACCCCTTGCTTTCAGAAGATAACATCACCTCCTAATAATCTACTGAGGAGACTCTCTTTGACTCTACTTTGAGGTCACTTCTAATTCCTTCTTCTCCCTATCCCCTCCCAATTTAAGCAGTCACTGATTCCTATGTATTTATAAGTTTCACAACAATAACTCTGACATTCATCTTCTGTGTTCCATTCTCTCTGCCACTATCCTTTAAATTCCAACTCAGTGCCATGTCTGACTTAGTTTAAGTAACCTCTTAACTAGTCTCCCCACAGTCAATTTCTTGCTAATGCATTTCACCAACTAAAACAAATGTCAAGGCATTGTTTGAAACCAGCAAATCTTGGTTGAAGTCCACCTACAAAGGTATTCGGGACTAACCAACTTTTCTAGCTTTATCTCCACCATCCCCTTGTGGTCAAATTGAGCAAGTTAGAAAGATTCCTCTAGCAGACCTTGCACTTCTGCACCTCCAGGTGCTTTCTCATGCTGTCCTTCTCACCTGAAGTGCCCTACTCCACTCTCTGTGCCCCTCAAAGTGACTCATGTTTTGAAGACACTTCAAAGGTCTTCATGAAGCCTTCCCAATCCCCCCAGCAATTCATTTCTTCTTTTGATCTGCAGCAACACTTGGCAGATATATATGTTCTAGAAAAGTGAGTGGGAACGTAGAGGGGTCATTCCTGGCTCCACTGCATTCACCTCCTCAGTAAGGCTGTGCCTTTTCTCCCCAACCTTCTCCCTGTTCCTGTGCCACCCTTACTCTATCTGTTTCACTCTTCATATTTTTGTCAGTTAATTCTTCCAATTCAATTTTTGGCAAATTTCAGAGTTAATTCTCCACACCTCCTCAGTAAGGCTGTGCCTTTTCTCCCCAACCTTCTCCCTGTTCCTGTGCCACCCTTACTCTATCTGTTTCACTCTCCATATTTTTGTCAGTTAATTCTTCCAATTCAATTTTTGGCAAATTTCAGAGTTAATTCTCCAAGTTGGTGACTTGGAAAGATCTGTAAAAGTATTTGTAGAGGCTCGGCCAGTTTGTGGGAAATTCAGTAGATTATAGGAATTGACCTGGTTTAAATAATTATTTACTTGGTATTTTCTGCTGTTTTGAGAGAGCATTGATCATTAGCTATTTTCCTTTCTAGAACTAGATTTATTACATATGTAGACCCCTGGTTTATGTGTTTTTGATTTTTCTATGTAATCTTATTCAATTTAGTCAGGATAATGCATACATTCCATTGTATATCTGTGTCTAAAGAGAAATAGCTAGATAGTGATATTTGTTCAAGTTTACAGTTTTATTGACTTCCTGATTTAACTGAATGAGTGTGTCAGAATGTATGTGCATGCAAAGTGTAAATATGTGTTTATATGTGTACTTATATGCATATTCCCTGATGCAATTGTGTTATTTGAGCAGGCATCATTATCCAAATTTATTCTAAAGTGTCACAAGAAAATGTAATATAACAGGGAAATCCAGCTTTAACTTTTGGTGTTTTGCCCATGTTATTTCATGTTAGAATTCTAGCTATTCTCCTTTAGGTTCCAGTTTTAAGGGTGGGGGTAGACTGCATGGTACTTAACTGTCAGTTGAGAAAAATAACCTCCTATTTGTTTGTTATGATGAATTTCATGGCTTGTTGATGTCTATTGCTTCAGGTCTGCCTTATTCCCTGGGCAGAGTTCACTGGAATCGACTGATATTTAGAAAATGACAAATGGCCCATCACCTCACAATCAACAAAAGGCAATAGAAATGCTTTTCAGATAGCTGTGGGGCCTGTCACTACAAATGAACAAAATATATTTCTTTTGGCTTTTTCTCAATCAAGAAATATGGGTTTTACTTTAGTTCCCATGTTTATGTTAATTGCTTTTTTGTATTAAAAAAATGGAATGTAATTCACCCACCTGAATTTTTTATATGGATAAAATTACAACCATGTCTTATAATCATTTCCATTGCTAGAACACTCTATTAAAAGTAACAGCAAAACCCTCCTTTCTTAAGTGCATATTAAAAAACGGCCAACTGTGCTTTTTACTCTAAATATGTCTAATGGAAGCATCTTTAGTGAAGTTATGCTGGGATTATTCAACAGCAAAACCCTCCTTTCTTAAGTGCATATTAAAAAACCGCCAACTATGCTTTTTACTCTAAATATGTCTAATGGAAGCATCTTTAGTGAAGTTATGCTGGGATTATTCAGGTTTAAACAGTGTACACGTTTGGCCATACATGGCTATTTATTGCCCCATACACACTGCGGATTGTGCACATGCGTGTGTGTGTACACACACATATTCTCGAACATATTCAGTGATGTACATAACCTCAGATACTCTCATACTTGGGTAATACTATGTGTTCCAAACACTTTGATTATATTATTTCCCTTGACCCACACAAGAATCCTACAAGGTAGAAAGAACAAATATTTTTAAGTACATTTTACAGATAAGAAAACTGAGATTTATGGGGGTTAATTTCTCGAGGTTTCATGTCTGGCATCTTATACAGTCAAGAGAGAAACCAAATCTACTTAGTCCTAGTCCAGATCTGTAACAGTACTTTCTCCTTATAAGTGGTATCCTGCACCAGTCTCTGATTTTGATGTTCTTACTATGTGTTTTTGACATTTGTATGAGGGGTCTTCAAAAAGTTCATGGGAAGATTTATATAGTATTTTAATTCAATTTTTTCATGAACTTTTTGAAGTTCCCTTACATATAATTGTATGTGTTGAATTTTCTTTTCCCTTTGAGGATGAGTTCTGATCTGAACCCAAAGAATTTAGACTGGAAGATGGAGAACCATATTACTTTTACTAAAATTATATATCCTTCTTTAGTTACTCTAAATGTTTGTGAAATTATAATCAAGAATGAAAAACAGTGTTCATGTATTGGATTTCTTCTCTATGTGTTTGTCAAACCCTTTCACTTTAGCAGTTTGGTAAAGCTTTTAGGCTATAAAATCCTATGCTGTCTTGAATCTCACATTAAGATTTTAAATTAAAAATTTAAGTTAATTTTAAACTCTGCCTACAAGTTCTGTTCCTATGATTTCCACTGATTTATCAGACTTCATGAGAGTTTGCACATATGTTTCTCCTATGTTTAAAAAGAACAAATGAGCTGTAGCTTTTAGGTGTTTGAAATTGCAACATATATAGTTGTCCCTCAGTGTGTTAGTCTGTTTTGTGTTGCTCTTAACATACCTGAGACTGATACTTTATAAAGAAAACAAGTTTATTTGGCTTAAGACTCTGAGGAGCTGCATCTGGCCTGGGCCTCAGGCTACTTCCACTTATGGTGGAAGGCAGCAAGGCAGCTGGCAGATGTCACATGATAAGCAAGGAAGCAAGCAGCAGGTGGGGAGGAGGAGGCAGTGCCAGGCTCCTTTTAACAACCAGTTCTCACCCAAACTCATCTATTCCTGCAAGATCCCACCCCACCCCACCTCACTAATCTATTCATAAGGGATCCACCACCTCCCAATACTGTCACATTAGGTATCAAATTTCAACATGAACTTTGTGGGGACAAACATATCCAGACTATATCACTCAATATCTGCAGGGGATTGGTTCCAGGACCCCCTCGGATACCAAAATCTACAGATGCTCAAGTTCCTGATATAAAATGAATATAAAATATGTAGTATTTGTGTATAACCCATGCACATCCTCCCATTTACTTTAAATCACCTCTAGATTGCTTATAATAACTAATACAATGAATGCTACGTAAACAGTTGTATTTTAAATTTTGTATTTTTTTATTGTTGTATTTTGTTTTTTTTTAGAAAAATACTTTTGATGCATGGTTGGTTGAATCCATAGCTATGGAACCTGTGGATATGGAGGACTGACTGTACTAATGGAAGTCATCTATTGTGATATCTTTAGTTTTGTGTTTTAGATGGATTTTGAGAAACCAATTTGTTCATAAGAAATTCAATGCCAAGCCCATAGTAGATAGTCAGTAACTACGTGTTTAAAGAAAGTATGAATAATAGGAAATCTTCCCATCATTTTCATATATTAAATTATTCCTATTCTTAGCGCTTAGCCTCTGTGGGATTGGATGC